GACAGACAGACAGACAGACAGACAGACAGACAGACAGACAGACAGACAGACAGACCGACCGACAGAGACTGAGAATGAACGAATATATTATAAGGAATTATTCAAAACTACTGGTATTGACTAAAGTAGATCAAGGGGGAATTTCTCGTTTTGAAGATTACGTCTCCCCCCCCCTCCCCCTTATCTTTTCCCCTCTTTCCTCGTAACTGGTTTCACATTTTATTATGTAATTTAAAACACGGGTGCCTCTTGTTCATTATATAACTCACACGAGTATCGAAGAGATGCCCAAACCAATCTGAAGGCCAGGCCCTTGGGCGTGTATGTAATGTCGCCTCCGGGGAACCAGGAGGTGTAGGTGCCTTCAACAGCCTGTTTGTAGGAGTCCTTGCCCGTCAGTTTGTACAGGAGAACCTGTAGATAGTGATGATAGTGTTGCGACATTGGCAATTGTAATGTAATTTCGTGAGCACAAGGAACCGATACTGCCATTAGGAAAGTAATTTATCTACATGTAACAGGTTTTTATTCAAACGTTTTGGCCAAGTAGACCTGAACAGTTACCAGACGGTATACATGTACTATATAATTATATAAATATACCCAGAATAAGGCACTTTTCACATCCTTTCTCTCATGCTATTGCCCTTTCCTCTCTTTGCCCCACCCCCTTTCCATCCACCCCCCCCCCCCGAACCATCTTTTCCTCCCTACCTCTCCATCACCACCCCTTTCCCTCCACTTCCCCCCCCCATCCTCGGCCTTTTGTGCCTACAAACTTTTAAAGTTTTAGTAAGAGTTTTACGGCCATTGCAACACAAAAAGGTCATATAAGTGCCGAAGATTAGAGGTTTTCAAGAAAGTAACAAACACAAAATAGAAGTAGGGGAGAAAAGGACGATAGATGTTTGATACGAGAAGGAGCAAACCACGCCAGAGCACCCGCCAACCACCCGCGCTGACAAACTACAACACTGCGTGACCAAAGGCGCTATCATTTTCGACCACAGCTTAGCTCATTGAGGACACAGACAACAAGGTAAAGAACAATTAAATCTATTAATTCCATCTTTTTGGACAATAAATATCCATTGTTCCCTCAAATAAAAATATCAGTCAGAAGTAAAATACTTAGGCTTCTGGTCTGTAACAAAGACAGATACAGAAGGTTATTCTTACCATCATCCATCAAACTTCTTCCATCTTGACCATCTTGTTATAAGTATTCATATCACCTTAAAACATGCATCAAAATACCTTTGAGTTACAACCAGAACACTGAGTATGCAATTAGCTTTCGGTATTTTTGTTTATATTACTGTTCATTTATATTATGCATGTGACTGTAAGCCTGTGTGAGTGTACATGTCTGTGTGTGCGTGTGCGCGTGTGTGCGTGTATGTGTGTACGTGGTAAAACACCAAATCAATGTGCTAGAACCTGGACAATAAAGATGTATCTTATAGCGGACACATATTATGTTTGATCAGCAGCAGACCAAAGGCAAAGCTGCAGGCAGATCTTAGACCAACCATATATCAGCCAGTAACACAAAGTTGCACATGATTTGATCGTGTTCGTGTTGTTGAATTAAAGTTTAAGTTTCCAGATAAATGAAAACTATTGTACAATCTTTACGAATAAAGAAGTTATGCACTTTTTAAAAAGTCCCCCCAAAAGAGCGCACCTTCAAACGTTGTCGAATAAACACAATGAGCGCAATGGTGAAGGTTGACTGGTTTGACAGGGTACTCAAAGTGAGACAAATACAGAATAGAGATGAGGCCAAATATGACAAGCTTTCCTACAAATGGGAATACAACCAACAAAACTATTTATTCAATGCAGCATCACTGAGTAGTGTTGTGAATGAAAACAGACCCTGAATTCATTCTAACGTATATCACGCTCCATGGGTGAATTTGACAGCGGCAATGTCCCCAAATTAAGAACTGGAAGCAGATATTGTTTGATTATGTAGACGCTTCGCCCCTGAATGAGCGGTGTCAATGAGTTAAGATATTTCATACCTGGTTTGAGATGGTCTTCTCGTCCCACGACATGCCCCACGCAGGTTCAGGGTCCCACAGTTTCTCCGCATTATCCAGGTATTTGCTCTCGTTGGTGGCCTGATAGAGCCACAGAGAACCCCAGCACAGCTCGTCAGTGTAGTTGTGAGAACTGAGGACATTGATAGCTACTGTCACAGTGTATCTATCTATCTATCTTTCTATCTATCTATCGATCTATCGATTTATCGATCTGTCTATCGCCCCATCCCCCCATCCCCGAAAAAAAAATAATTTTGGCCTTCTACTTTCATATCATGACATGGTGTTCGTATTTTAACACTACTATAACAGTATGTGTTAGTGCCCCTTACCCTTCCCCATCCTTCCACACGTACACAAACACACACACACACACACACACACACACACACACACACACACACACACACACACACACACACAGTCTTTTTCTTTTTTACTCACGAATAGAAGCCAGCGGCTGCTGACACAGAGTCGCTGTACTTGCCCTTGTACTTCATGCCAAAGTCCCACAATTGTTTGGCGTGAGTCAAAAGTGTGTTGGCGAAAGTAGAGTCTGGGAAGGGAAAGGGAGAGGACGGTTGTTTGTTTGTTTGTTTGTTTTTGTGTTTGTTTGTTTGTTTGTTTGAATAATGAGAAGCGCACTGACACAATAATGGTCTTAATTTAGTGCTGGGAAACAACAAGACAGAGACAACAGAGAGAAAGTAAAGGCATAGGTAGCGTCACCCAGCCACCCGCTTTATTCGTTACATCTGTTTTATTTATTCATTAGTTTATTTATTTATTTACTTTTTCGGGAGGGGGGGGGGGTACAATACAAACCTGAAGTTAAAAAAATTAAACAATAAAAATGGTTAATTTTCTCCGAAGGAAGCCTCACACTACTTCTTTCCTAACTTTGTTGTTCGAACAGTTTCTCAAAATTGACCTAAGAAAATCAGGCTTGGCAAAATTGTGCGAAATCAAAGAAACGTAAAACCACTCGCTCGGATTTTTTATTCGTATTCATCAAAGTATTTTCTAGACAGCTAACAGATGTTTACAAAAATATTAATCAGTTATGCCATATTGACACAAGTCATTGTGCAAAAGCTGGAGAGTCTTAGTTCGATATTTTAGGAAATATTTGACGATAAGTTGCGCCAGGAATTTTTGACCGCACTATAAACCAAGCCATCCAGTGATTCTCGTGAGGGCGGTTCTCTTCATTTCACCCCAGACCACCCAAAACCATGGCAGTTTCGAGGCCTCTTTTTCTCATTGACAGATGATTACGCCCAAGGTTTCGACATGAAACCGTTAGCTCCAGAACAAAAACAAAATTATACTAATGAGCACATGTAATGTTAAGTTCAGGCTTAGTGTGGTATTTGTAACTGCTCTGTTCTCCAATCTGTTTGAAAAAATCATCAGAAGAATCTGTTCATTGCAGAGACAATAATATTCTCTTTTCATTTGATATTCATCTCATGTGCATTCCACCAATGTTGAAGACCTTAAAGATACTCGCGAATACACTTTTGCGTTTCTTTGATTTCGCACAATTTTGCCAAGTCTGATTTTAAGTTCAAGCTCAATTTTAAGTCACCATATCTCGGGCGTATAATATAATATTAATGTGTCAGATGATGCAGAATTTATCTAGCTTTAAAATGATATGCTACAGGAGTGGATGGTGCCAGGCTTTAACCCGAAGATTGGGTGATTACATTTTCAAGGGTTTTTTTTTTTACGCCACAATATGTGCGTTTATATTATATTATATTTTATATATATATATATATATATATATATATATATATATATATATATATATATATATATATATATATATAAAATATATATATAAAATATATATATATAATGTATACTATATATAACACATTATTGTAATTATCATTTTTGACGTTGTTGTATTATAACCATATTATTATTAGCCTATATTATGATTATTGATATTGTTATTTGTTGTTGTTGCTGTTGTTGTTTTTGTTTTGTTGCTGTTGTTGTTGTTGTTGTTGATGCTATTGTTGTTGTTCTTCATTTTATTATCATCGTCGACATCATCATCATCATCATCATCATCATCATCATCATCATCATCATCATCATCATCATCATCATCATCATCATCATCATCATCATCACCATCATCATCATAAATCACTCTTACTTTTGTCCTTGAAGACCAGATAACCAGCTGACATGGCGGCGGCAGTCTCCATAGCAACATCACTTCCAGGTCTGGACGCTGTGATCTTGTAAGATGGCCTGGGCATTGTCATGTCCTCTGGCCGGCCCCAGTATCCGTGGTCTGGTCCCGGGTTGCCCACCTGAGTTTAGCACACACACACAATATAATAGTAATAGTAATAAGTATAATTATGATAATGATGTAATGATAATGACTTTAGTGATAATGATGATGATAATGATGATAGTGATAATGATGATGATGATAATAAGATTAATGATAATAATATTCATCATCATCATCACTGTTTTGTTCAATATCCAAATTCAGTAATACGATCGAAGTGGAAGTCAAAGGTGCAAATTTTAGAACGTTTATTTACTTTTGCACACAGAATTAAACTTGCTTTCGATCCACAAGTGAGGAACTTATTATACATTTATCAAGGTGGGTTGTTGGAGGGCGCCGCTGGTAGGTCCTACTTCTTTACTTTCCCCTGTTTCTGTCTGTCTGTCTTATTTTTCCCCAGCACTAAATGGCCTTCATTGTGTCGATGTGCTTCTCTTTACTCAAACAAACAAACACAACATTTATCAAGCAGTTTCGTCTGCATGCTGGACTGCTGCAACCCACTCAGCCGTGTTGGCCCCGAAGGTTGGTATTAGCAAAGCAGCCTGCCTCTTAAATTACCTGAATTATATCTTTGGGGTTGTAAAACATTTGCATTCAGACAGTCAACTAAACGTGCTCCATTTTTTAATTCTTTCCTTCAGTAGCAACTGACTGGCCGCCTGGCCATTTATCATTACTGACCTGAACGTAGAGCTCTTCGGGCGCCGTGTGACACTTGAGTAAATATTCCAACGGCCATTTGATACCGTCAAGGAGCGCGTCCTCTTGACCAGCTGCCTTGTAGGCCTCCGGGTAGAGGAGATAACCCCAGGCGAGTATCGTGGTGCTGTACGACATGGGGAAGTTGAACTTGACGTGGTCGCCGGCTGACAGCAGGAAACACAAGAGATTTGTTTCATCATCAACCACAAATTTGATAGGTGTTAAAGTTTATATCAACATAAAAGGAATTTGTAGTGTGGAATATGAAATGTTCTTTATTGGCTTAACGTCATTATCAACACTATTGAGTTATATAAGACGCAGGACCTCCCGAGTTCAACGTCCATTTCCAAAGTCCTGAGCCAGATAGGAAATTCGAGTAAAATGCCTCTCCCAAGGACACAACGTCGGCCTTAGCTGAGGTTCGAACCCTCGAACAAGCAATCTCACGATAATGAGTCCGCAAGCTTAACCACTAGACTACCGAAGCCACTGTGTACAGTACTACAAGGGGAGTGGGGAAAGGGGAAGGCGAGCTTAGAATCTACACACGCTATGAACTAACCAGATGAACTGCACTCCTATCTGACACATCGTTGTTGACTCTTTTGTGAACACTTAACGCACAAGTGTGTATTGCAAAACGAAGCTTTTGGGGGGGGGCGCTTTGTTCGTGGGGGGGGGGGGTATTTCTTTTTTTTGTTTGTAAAGAGATAGAGACATCCAAATGAACCATCTAATTATTGTTCGTGGGCAACTCTCCTTCCGACCGTCGTCTATCCTTGTGGAATGTGTTTGGAATTTGAAATCCTTCATGGTCACGCTCCCCGAAATTAAATAAATGAATAAATAAATAAATAAAGACATTTAAAAAATAATTGAATAAATAGATTCACTAGGAATCTGAAGTATCGAATTCAGTGTTCAATGGCGCCACAACATGACCTCGCTATTGACAGATCACATTGTGCGCACATCTTGTACGTTCCAGATGGCCTAATAGTGCCGAGAGAACGATCGCTTTCATACCAGTGTGCGTGCGTGTGTGTGTGTGTGTGTGTGTGTGTGTGTGTGTGTGTGTGTGTGTGTGTGTGTGTGTGTGTGTTTGTGTACATGTGGATGTGTGTGTGTGTGTGTGCATGTGTGTATGCGTGTGTATGGATGTGTATGTGTATGTATGTATGTGTGTGAGAGTGTGTGCATGTGTGTGTGTGTGAGAGAGAGAGAAAGAGAGAGAGAGAGAGAGAGAGAGAGAGAGAGAGAGAGAGAGAGAGAGAGAGAGAGAGAGAGAGAGAGTGCGAGAGTGCGTGTTGTGTGTCCCTCCTATAAGTACCACCCACAGAATTCTAGAATTCTGTGGTACCACCTGTCACAATAGTACCGACACGGCACTTACCGTCATACCATCCTCCAGTCAGATCCTCGCCGTTCTCCCCCTTGTCATTGAGGGCTGAGTCTCCTCTCCAAGGAATGCGGTTGGAGGCTGGCAGTTTTCCGGAACGTTGAGCCTCGTAGAACAGAAAAGACTTGAACAGAATGTCGTTGTAGTTGTACTTGGATTTGTCAGCTGTATTTTGGAAACGAACAAAGGAAAAACGCGTCCACTGTTTGTAAGTGTGGATTGCACACAAAAAAAAATTCAACACCAAAAATCATGGGAACCAACCCGGGCTAAGAGAGAATATAATGCCCCAGCAGACAGACACTGAAACTCGATTTATTAGTTTTTAAAGACCACAACTTGTCGAACACATTTCTTCTGTGAACAATAGAAAAGCGCCCAATCATTTCATAAAAGACTCCGATGTGTCTAGTTATAAGGTATAAACCAATGAAACTAGCTGCAAGAGGCTGGGTCACTTGAGAAAATCACAGCCTTAAGTAGTATGGCTAGCATGTATATGGTTCTTGTTTGTTTTTAATTTTGTTTTTTTAATTAACAGAGAACCCTGATGTACGACTCTAAGGTATCGACTAAGCGTCCCCCCTTCTTTCAGTTTTTTTGCGCACCCCCCACTCTTTTTTCCCCAATCCCCGCTTATTAATTTACAGTTTTTTGTGCAACCCCCTCCCCCGCTCCTTATTCCTTACCCCCGTTTATTCTTTTCCAGCTTGCCACGACCGACGGTCATATAAAACATAGAATCCAGATATCTGAACGAAACTTCCTTATTTGTTGTTGTTGTAAATGGAAAATTACCCTCAGTATTAGTACTGGTACCGGGTTGGCTACCCCAAATTTCTGTACTTTTCAAAACTTTTGTACATTGGTTTGGTTTTTTTAAAAACTGGTTTGTTCTTAAATGGGAAAAGTTGTCACTAAAATTTCATGATCTCTTGTTGTTTTATTCACTGAAGGAGAAATTTAAAAAAAGATTTGTACCTACTAGTATAAGGGTATGAGGTTGAATGTGCCCCCCTCCCCCGTCTATTAATTTGGACAACCTGTCTGCACCCCCGTTCATTCCAATCCCACCCCCTCCCGTTTATTAATTTTGGACCGCTTGTCCACACACCCCGTTTATTCCTAA